GGACGGGGAGGCACTCCCCGGCCCCGCGGGGCCCCGTTGACATCCCTATCTGCCACGTCCTTGGATTTGGGTTTTGGGGATTTGGGTTTTGGGGAGTGACAGATTTAGTGGTATCAGAGCTTAGGTTTAAATTAAGAGCTTAGGAGTAAATTAAGCACCTTCAGATTGAGTGGTATTAGAGCTTAAGTTTAATTAAATACCTAGGTTTAATTAAATACCTAGGATTTGTTTAGAACTTGGCTAGTCAATAGATTTTAGAACTGTGGTGAGACGAGTGATGGGGTTATATAAGGGACGATTCTGATCTATGTTGCCTGAATTTTCTAATCCATTTTGATGAGATGGCAATCTGATTGTTCTTGTTTCCTTGCTTCATACCCTGTGTAGATTCATGAAATTAATCTTGTCCGCCATGTTCTTAAGACCTTGTTTTGAAACTTGGTCATTTTCTGATAGTCTGCACTTGTTTAGACTTGTCACTTGAATAGAATTTTTGTATGCTCTTCTACCACAATTGTAAAATTTGGGGAGTTGTAGAGATCTTTTGTTACTGATCCTGTTGGTCTCTACAGCATAGCTGGTTGAGAAATTTGTTCTGTTTGTCACATGACCAGTGGAAGATGGGCAACCCTCTACTCTGTAAGAGATTCAAGACTATTTTAGCAAATGTTGTGTGTTTTCTAGATGCGTTTTAGGAGCTAGATAACTTGGTAAATTCGCTGCTCATTATCTTTCTGTAAGTCTTATAGTGAAGTTTCACTTTTTCCATTTGGAGCTTCATGGTCTTTTCATGTGGCTCATTTTTCTATATTGGTTAATGAAAAACAGTGATCAATTCAATTGCAATTGCCGTGTTTTGTGAAGATTGGCAAGTTGTCATGAGGTTAAACTCTCTATTGTTGCTAATCTCTACATTCTTGATACTTGGAAACTGCTTAAAAACTCTTGAAATCCATCTTGAATCTTTCTTGAGATTGCTTTGTACTTGTTCTTGAAACTGAAATAAAAAAGAAATGGATAATGATTATTGAAATCCTCATTATCTTGATACTTGTCTGAAATTAATTCTTGCACTGTTCTTGGAATCTATTTTGAATTGTCCTTGAAAACCATTCTTGTCCTGACCCTTGCTCTTGCTCAAATTCTGTATACTGCTCTTGCTCAAATCCTGAATATTGTGCTAGTTCTTGTTTCAATATACTTGTTGATCTTTTTTATTTTTGTTCATATGGACACCTCTTTAGGAGGGGCGATGATTATTAGAAAATACCTATATGAGGCATTCTAATTCTTGTCTCTTGCAAGTGTTAATCTCTATATTCTTGATGTCTTAGCTTTGACTTGACTCTAGGATGTCTAGGATGACTTGATTGTAAATCTGCTTAGCCTCCATGGGTTACGAGGTGAAGGTGTAGTCTTTGAAGTACCTAATGCCCTAGAGTTTTGTTCCAAGAGAAATGGTTCTTTTATTAGTTGTTTTGATTTTATTTGCCCTTTTAATTAGAAGACAGTAATCTTCTAAGTATCCTGATCCCCACTAATTAATTCATGTTACTTGGGGTGCTAGATCTTGACATCCTGACTATATCTGCTCTTGAATCCATGTTCTGGTTGTCATTATTGAAATCTCTTTTGTGGACCTAATCCTTGAATTCTATTACTTGTTTCATGGTTAACTCTTGTCTCTCAATTTTGACTGCTTGGTTAAATTTGATCTTGATTCTTGGTGAATGTCGTTTTGTTGCTGAAATTTTTGAGGCATTCTACCTTGCACTCTTATGTTCTAGTATTCTTCCAAGCATTCATATTTTCCACTGATTTCATTCTGATACTATTCTGGAAATTTCACATGTCATTTGATGGGTCTAGCTTTTAACTCTTGTTAATTGCTAAAATCTGTCTCTTGATTCCAGTTGTTTTGTTAAACATGATCTTACTTATTGGTTAACCTTGTTTTGTGGCGGAGTGTATAAGGCATCCATGCACTCATTCATTCATTCATGATTCGTACATCCATTGGATGCTTATCCGTCTTTGATAGAGTTCAAAGTTTTGTTGTACTCGTCTTTAAATCCATGCCATTCTTTGCCAATTCGTCTTGTGTTTGGTTCATAGCGTAACCCCACAATTGTCTTGTGTTGCGTTCATAGCGTAACCCCACAATGGTTCTTTTGTGGCTTTGGCAAGATTTATTTCTATTCCTTGTGCTTCCCATATCATCCCAGCCTTTAGTAGCTTATTTCATGGTAAATTATGTTAAGTAGTTAATGTTTTGCTTTTATGATTAGTTGTGGTTTGATATCAGAGTGGCGCAGCGAAAGTGTAGTAGGCCATGTTCTGTTTATAAGAGTTGGTGAGGCATTTGTTTTGCCTTGGCTTATGTGAAACCATTCACCACTCGAAATGATCCTCAATTTGAGTTTTGGGGACAAAACTCCTTTTTAGGAGGGGTGAATGTAATATCTCAAATTTTTGGGAATTTTATCATTTAAGTTAGGGACTTGATTCTGAGACAATATTATTTTGGGGCTTATTAGCTAAAATATCTAAACTTGAGGGACTTAAAAGGGATAAACATTAAGATAAAGGGTGGCTGATTAGTTTTCCTTTTTTTTTCTCCAGCCACTTTTCACGTGATTGCTTATCTTCTTCCTCTTGACCCCCCTTGCATCCCGCAAGGCCCCAAGCTTGCCGACCTGTATGCT